GCTAGCGTGATCCAGCCATCATCTATAGCGCCTAGCCGTCACCGATACCCAGCGGTAAACACCTAGCACATTCCGTATCATGGGCCACTTACCGGGAACCGTGGCCACCTACAATCGTCTGTAGGCATTTTGTACATTTCGCGTCTTGAGATATCTTTAGGCCCTTGTGCTCCTTCCTGGCGATGGTCTGGGCGGGTGCTAAGATGCCCGTCCATCCCCAGCATCCTTCTAGGCAGTGTTCCCAACGGGCTAGGTAGGCCAGGCCGGAGGAAAGCCGGGCCTGACCTACGAGAATTCCAGAGGATCTAGCCTGGACCGAGCCTGTAGGCCTCGAGGTATCCGAGCCGGGCCCGGCCCGGTCTACCCATAGGCTGTATAGGCTTTGTGTCATACTACCTGCTTTTGGAGCTCGCTTAGCCAGATATTTGCTTCCATTATTCCATTTTAACTTCTGCTCAACGTGACTTGCATTCACCCAAGCTTTCACCTGCCCAGCGAATTCTCTCCATCCATTAATACTCGGTCCGGTACTTGCTCCTGTTCAAAATGATCTATTTCTAGTGGAAAGTACAAGTTAAAAATCCTGGCAAACCAAATCCAAACCTCTTGCAAGCTCCACAAGGGGGAGGAGGGGAAGCAATGAAAAACCAAAAAAATCCAAGTGCGGGCGGGGTGTTTGGAAACTTTTTCTAAACTTGATATCATGGTTTCCATGACACCAGTTTTTCAGTGCCAAGGGTCCGGCCTATAGGCGCCCATCAGGCCTCTTTGGCTTCCGTAGGCTGATGGAATTCGGCCTATATCGGCCTAGGCCATTTTCCGCAGTGACCTGCCTTGGCCCGGCCAATGGCCCGGCCCCTTGGGAACACTGCTTCTAGGTTTCCCGGTACATCTGGACCGCACCCGAAATGGAATGGACTGGACGATTTGGTTCACATCAAGAGAGCCACGATGCAACGGATTTGTTGATCAAAGGTAATTCTCTATCACAATCAACCACCGGCCTATATATGTTTTGTTAATTGTGCTATATCTTTCATCTCTACTAGGGCAAACACTGTCTACCCCACACACTCGATAACATATTCTTAACCAGACTCTATTTTTAATTCAATGCCCGACACACTTTTCTTCGAAATTTATTTTACCATATGCCCTTACTTCCATCACGTTCATATGAAAGCAATTATATGGGGGCAAAATTGAGCATAACAGGCTATACCAGATCACTTCGTTGGCAGGGCTTAGGATGAACGCCGCCACTACTGAATGCCCTGGGTGCCGTCTTCTATGATAGCGTCCGTCACTCCCATGGGTGAGGACGCGCGGACCGGGCTATTGGTTTCACTAAACGGGGTACTCTTGGTCGTGTTAGTCTCCATTATTAGGAGGGCAACGGGAGTGCCGCAGGGGCAGTCAAGCCTTCCGATGGGTCCGGGATTCGTTGGATTGGCCCGGGTCGGTGGCTGGGTTGGATCCAGTTAATTGTGTTGGTTCGTGGGTACCCGTTCATTTGGTTGGGCTTGGTTTAGGAATATTTAGGAATGCTCAACCCGGGTTACCCATCAAACCCAAAAGATTTGTCTCGCTTATTTCCCCCGCTTGGGTTATCGTACATACCTTGGGCCAGCTCAAGCCCGCAGAACTGGAAAAAGCTATTCATGCGGAATCGATACTTGGTGAGAAATTGTTTTTATCAAGATATTTTACACAAGATGCTGATCCTTTAAACTAGTTGTATTCAGCTAACACCAACTTCGGGCGCCTGCAAAAGTTAATACTAGATAACGGATACACAATCACTATGAGTTAGTCTTCCTTCATATCAACTGCGCACTCCGTTTGAGTAGTACTCTCTCATATTGAAACACTTGACTGACAATACCAGATATATTATGCTAGGGATAGAATGGCAACGATATGATTTTAGTTTCAAATTGTGGGTGATTTGTTTGGCCCTCACGGCCTAAGGGGATACTTTGAACCCACACCACAACTATCTCCCAGCTATCCGTTTCCATCTGTCAGTTATCGATGAAGTCATTTTAAGATGCTATTTGACATCTAAACCACGAGAGTACACCAATGCTCTCATCAGCACATTTTACATACAAACCCACGTGGTTCGTTGAGTTAACCCGAGTTATCGTTGGGTTGGGTCGGGTCGAACCTCCGCTGGGTTTGGGTCGGGTCAGGTCGACTCATTTTCAACACGGTTCAACCCATTGAAAGGCTTGGGGGTAGGAAAAATACGCGGGGTGAGAAGGATATCAAACTTCATATGCCCCATTGAACTCCATGCAACACCGGTATCCCACCCAGGCTCAGCGAGCTTGTTAGGTAACGCCGGGTTAGGGGTACTGGATTTTTATAATACCGTAGCTATCGGGGATCGCGACTCGACATTTCGCAATTCAAGGCAAAACACCTGGGAAACGGATAGTGTTTTTCTAGACAGGGTATAGCGTTCAGAGGCTGAACTTGTTGGGTGTCACTAACCGGTATTCGTTATTTCGTTAACCGAGTCTTCTAAGCAGACTGTTGGGGGGATTTCATGCTTAGTGTATTGTCTGATGTGGACAACTTCATTAAGCCTTCTCTTCTGATGGAAATTTTTTAGGGTACAGTTAGGTTGATTTTCCGGTGAAGGGTTTGTCAGAATGTTGAGGGAGAAAGCTTTGTTCCCGTACGTAGACCAACGAGGTCCTCCTCGACCTTTTCTTCTCTGTTAAGGAACAACCGAACACGAGCACGAGATTTTTCTACGAGCGACTAGGAACCGAACCAAAGTGAAAACGAAAACCAGTGGATTTACGACTACGAAAGCAGGAATTAGCCAAAGGACCGTGCTATTCCTATTATTCGAAAACCATCGTTCGTTTTTTTTCTTTTATCTCTCTTTCTGATTTTTTTATTCTTCTACGAACCTCCTACAACTGTCTGCAATCACGGTTCTTCCTACGAGCTCGAAATCGTTCTTTCAGGACTATGGCTAGCACAGCGATCCAGTTGAGATCCACGGTAGCGGATTTAGCGAGCTTTTGCGGTAGGGTGTCGATTAGTGTTTCTGGGATTGTGCTGGATTTCTTACGTTTCATTATGTACCCTTTCCATTCAATATGTTTCTCATTTTTTTCATGCCATTCTCCATGGAGGCCCTGTATTTCTCCTTTCATTTTTTCTGACCACCATCGCCATATAAATATGCACATTTCTTCACTCACTAGTCTTTCTCAACTCCTACTCATTCGTTTATCACTTCTTGTGATACTCGTGAATAGGGGCAGATATGAAGGCATCCGCCTGTTTTCCATAGCGCTTCAAGAAAGCCATAGACCCACTTAGTGGGACCCGCCACCCGAGCCGAAGATTTTCCCCCTAAGAAATTGTTGCCCTGGACCGACTGCTGTGGTGCCGGAAAGTGCAAAAGGGAGATTTGTCAACCAATCACGCAACTAAAACCCTCAATTAATTTCCCCGGAAGCCATTGAAACCACAGAAATTAGGGACACGAATTTTGCCTTGCGTGTGGGAAGGATTTCAACAAGGGTGTTATCGTAACAGGGGCGGTGAACTCACCTTCCGTGCCATAGATGCCGCTGAGTCACATAGAGTGTTTTTGGCAGTCCACGAGCCGGGGCACTGGGGCCAGGAATCGTCAGGAACACACACAACGATGGGTTCACTGAGATCGCTTTATCTGGGTAGGACTAGATGACACAATGGGCTCTCGGTATAAGTGGTACTATCCGTATATCTATAAGGCGGTTTCTATGTAGTATAGCCATGCCTGCAGGCAGAAGAGGTGGTTTCAACCGATTGGCACTATCCCGTCTCATCCTGTCAGATAGGGTTCGGCTTATTTTCAAATGATGCGGTATCCTTACATGACTTATGGAGATTGCTGGATCGTAGGATACTAGGCCAACGTTTTGGCTCGCTTCTTCGTCGCGGGCTGGGGCCGGGAAGGGTGAGATGATACGGGGGGGGTACAGAGTCTCGCATCTTTGTGGCGGGTTGGTGGAACGCGCAAACAGCGGGGGAAGAAAAATAATAATAGACCGGATCAATAGCGCAATTTTTGACGCAGAAAAACAGAGCACAAACTCCAACTGAAATTTTTAAGGGTTTATTTTGCGTGCGCGAGTATTATGGATGAGGAAGACCCGCCTTTCCTGCCGGAGTTAGCAACCCTGCAGTTGGATTAAGCTTTGCCTCGGGAAGTAAGTTACGTTTTAGCATCTGCTAGAGGACCTTGGCAACTATTACCGTGGGTGATTTCTTGGCGTGACGTGGGGGCACACAAGGTAAATATTCCGCCTTTCATACCGCATCCAGCCAGACTCGGCATTCGCTCATTCATTTCCGCTCGAGGCCCAGTACGACTTTCAAACCGAAGTTACCTGGAATGGACTGTGAATACAACAGTTTTCTGGGAGCAGAAACGAAATGTGCGCCCTGGCTTGCGGGTAGGTATGCGAGGAGGGTGAGGCTGAAGGACGGAGTGATCCAGGTTTCGTTGGTCTATCGGTTTGTTCTCCTTGGGTAGTTAGTGGGGGTACTTGAAGAGTGTCCAGGAACCCCGCCGCGGGATCCACACAGCGCGTCACAATCCTCACCCCCACGGCCTGCCTCGGCACGCTCACATCCGTGCCGATAATAGGATCGTGGTAGGTCGCTTGGACACCTTTCAGCACTGTTGATTGGCAACGCGCGCCCCCATCGCCACCGACGGGCTGTTCCACTGAAGTAGCCAACGGCTCGCCGGCTTTTGGTTCAGATTTACTGATTCATGTTTACTCATTCTCTGCTCTCTCACTATCGATCACTCTCTACTGGTCCTTTCTCATGGTCGCCCAGGATTCCCTGGGAATGAGCTAGGTTGTGCAAGATCAATTGCGCCATAGTCGGATGATCGCTGTTGGGCAAATAAACTGGCACTTGTTGCTGGGATATAATTCGGTCATGATCCACGATTTACCTCCCGGGTCTGTGTCTTACCACGATGTTCGTCGTTAATATCTTTTATTGAATTCTCTCGGGTGTTCACGGGGAGATCCAAAATCATGTAATTCCCAGCCAACAGCGCAGACACAACCGACAATCCCGGATGGCCAGAAATTCGGTATTTCGTCCGGCCCAACATGGATTGTGGATAGCCGAGGATGAAAGGTTCGTGACACAACACGCAACTGATTGCCCCCCACCAAAATTAGTGATCGTTACCGGAGGGTTGATGGCCTTTGTTTTGGGGTGGTTCAGTTGAAGCTACTACGGTACTGTCATCACGGTAACAGGGATCAGGAGAGTGAAATTCTTCTAGGAACGGGGGGCGATATCCGTTCAAGTCCCATAAGACTGCGGACATCTTTGACCACTGGTTCAGCGAGGTACCCGGTTGGGCAAGATTAGGGATAGCAGGGTGTAACCAGAGCAAGCCCTTAGCACTTCTGAACGCGAAGGCTTATGCCACCCGTACCATATATTAACGCTATATCTCCCTCTGCGAACGTTTCCGTGGCTGCGAGCCAAAGACCACACCACAGCAAGCCGCGACAAAGAAAATCACATATCTACCAGCCCCACTACCCCCGCTACCCCCAAGAACCCACGGATTCGCACTACTACCGCGCCCCCCTAAGACATTTCCGCTCGCTTCCATCCGCCGCTAAAGCCATGTCTTTCACCCCCCGATTCCCGCCCCCCCCGCCCTACTCCCTCCTCCCTGGAGAGACCGAGAGAACCCTATCAGCCGATACGGCCCCACCACCGCCGCCATATCGCCCACTTCCCCGCGTAGCAACATCCCATACCGTTCACGAACAGTCGGCAGAGCAAGTTGTAATCTGGCTGCGTTCAAAACCCGTTTTCGCACCGTGGGAGTACGAAAATGTCCTGATCATACTGTGGCACGAAATGGTACAGAGGCGATTGGACGAGATTTTGGCTACCGCCTCCGGACCCGAGAGCTCGTTTTGGGAGGATATGCTGGTGGAGGTTGAGTCGGAGAGGGATCTCAGGTTAGTTACCAGATGTTGTATTGGTTCTGATGCGTTCTCTTGGATTTCTAGAGGAACAGGGAGGGGTGCGAGGGGTGTGTGCGAGGGAGTGTATATATTACAGGGAGTAGGTGTGTTTATGCCGCACAGCTCTTGTGTAGAGGATGTATTGAGTTTCCCCCGCCGTATAAAGGACGGAGAGTCCATTGCTAATATTGGAGTGCCAAATCTCAGTACCAAACACACCTGTTCAGTTTTCGCAGCGGAAAGTACGCCGTCCCTAATGACGCCAGAGTCCGGGAACCTGTACTGCATTATTTAAGTAAAGATTTGCCATTATGGGACGTAATTTCAAAATCGCCCTCTCACTCTCGATGCATTGTAGCTAATTTTTCGGGGGATTTAGGTATTTCGAAACATCAGTTCCTGGGTGTCTTCGCAGATCACGTACCGAAAATGGCAAGAGCCCAGCGTAAGTACCCATCCCTCTGAGCGTCGTTAACTAACCCAGCAATTATAGTCCGCGTCCGTGCACACGACAATGCTTGCGAGGGAGCTTTGTGAAAAGATTATCCGACCGATTTTCCAAAAAGAGAGCGACCCACCGGATTTGAGCGAGATTTTCAGTGGGGGAAGGAAAAGGGGAGTGCTGACGACATTGAAGCCGGTTGGTTCTACCCAGTGGTATTCACACCTGTATACGGTACCCTTTGACATTTGTGTCGGGGGTGGTTCAGTTTGGGGGGCCGCGGGTCGGGGCGGTGGTGCCGATAGCATACGGTGGAGCCGGATCACCCAGAATTCAGACTCTGTGGTGAATAGATACTACCTAAATATCTAATCAGCTAAAAGTAGTCATGGTAACCTTCTCGTGAGCGTGAAGTTTACGTATGGTGATTTGACCGTGCAAGTGATATTAGAAGGATACGAATTCGTATCGGAATTCAAGCAGTTAATCACACCCGATTCCTCCACCCTTGCTTGGTTGCCGTGAATTGCGAATCTGACCCACCGCTACAGCAGCCGTCGGTGCCATCGTGGGCTAGCCACCTTAGCCATAAATGCGAGGTGTTAACAGAATACCCCCCTGCCATCCTGGTAGCCGGTTTCAGGTGAATTGCTACAGCGAACCGCTGGTGCGAGAGAAGCGGATGCGCCAGCCCTAATGTAACCTGGTCGGGGGACTAAATTCGTGAATCTCTCGAAACGTACAAGGGATTCATGAGAAAAGAAATAATGCCCTGTGCGGATCCTTCCAAGGAAAATATATCTCGATATTTTTCAAAAAAACATACTCCCACTACACACCCAAGGCAAGCAGACTCCAAAGAAGATTTCAGTCCGAGAGCAGGTACCTCCCTACCGACTCAGCGCAAAGGGGAAAGTGGTAGGGGGCGTAGGTGTTGGGGGGTTAGGAAAGTCATGATGCTGTGATAAACTTTGTCTCTCCGGCGAAACGCCGAGTCATCGCTATTTTCCTTGATCCTTCCCTAACCGATAAGCCTCACGATGTCCCTCCTTTCACGGAGAGTGAGTGGGATAGGATTCGGTACCGGACACTGATATGAATTCCATCTCTCGAGTTGGATCGTTTTAGATGGGTAGAAATGAGCAGTTCCGAAAAACATTGTGATAGATTTTTACCGGCATCATACGCGCCGAGCGGGTTCCAGAAAAGAAAATTAAAAATATTATTGCTATGTGATAAATATATTCCCCCACATCATCGGAAAACCTGGGGCCAGTTTGTATGTTGATCGAACAGTTCATCGATTCGAGAGGGCGTTTTGCAAGAGCAGTTTTGGAATTGACTAAGGATAAGGCACAAGACTGCTCATTTGATTAGCCTAGTGAGTTATATTTTACCAGCTCCAAAACCATGCTTCACAAACCGTATCCCAAACCAATGAACTCCTCTCTCAACTGTATGCCAGGCAGGCGCCAAGTTAGTTTCCGAGAAGCGTGACACATTAGAGTGCTCGGCCATAGTAAATAAACCGCCATTTCTGTCTCTCCACCTGAGAAACCATAGCCCGCGAGAAAGCCTCGCGTACCCCACCCCAACCAGTCCGGCCCACACGGGAGGCATCTCGTCAAGGATTATATGGCATAAGAGAAATGTTTGGCAAATGATATAATAGGATCGTTCGTCGTCACACCTCTGCCCAGATCCAAAGATTGTCGGGCCAAAAGCGTTTTTTTCTTTTCATATTTCGTACTTTCTTCTTATGATTTCAGTGCGGAAATGCTCGGGCACGTTCCGGCAGATGCGGGTGCCCGACCTCATGCGGAAGTCTCAGAATTACCTATGATATACTGATGGAAATGCTGCCCCCCCGTCAATACCCCGCACAAGCTGATAGGACCTCACCGCAATGCAAACCCAAAATCCAAATCGCTTTGAACGGGCACGGTGGACAATATTTTCGTTAACACAGTATGTACTAGTAGCACAAGTCGCGAGCACACGGGAGGGGTACATTAGAGACGGCGGGATCACGGGGAGTGGATCCCATCCCGGCGATGGATACGCCATGTCGCTCACCGTCCAACTGGAGGGCGACAGCGATTTTTCCGCCCGGGAGTTGTACGGTACTGTGCGTGTGGGGTCGGCGCAGGCTGCATAACCGTTGTGTCTCACTTGGCCGTATGGATGCTGTTGTCGAAGACGTTGGAAACATTAGACTGGAAGTGTTCCGGATTTGTCCGTCTGTTGAGGTTAAATCTCGCTCGGGTCCCTTTTGTTCGTGATTTCATGTCGCCGGCCGCTCAGTATGATGTCTGATGTTTTCTCCAATAACCTTAGCTACTGTATCCTGCTGTGATTGTTGTAATGTGGCGGCGGTTTCTGTGCACAATATTTCTTATTCTAAAGTATAGTGCTTGTGGGATGGTCAGAGGGTGGTGGAAAGAGGCGTCTTGGCATTCAGATACGTGAGTGGCTGTGCGGCTACTAGATTTGGGATTGGTGCGTGGCTTTTATTTTCGGCCTCTCACTTCGATCCTGCTGAGCGTGATGGTTGAATAAAGGTAAGATTATAATGGAAAATAAAAGTTGCTAGCAAGACAGAGATGGAATCTAATGTTCTATGGGATCCCTATGAACCAAGTTTTTCTCTTTTCTCTTTTCTTTTTGAATGAGTATCATAGGTTAGGAGAAATCAGAACCGGGGTGAGTGCTTGGCACGGCACGATTCCCAAACTCCATTTCGGGCAAGCATGGTTAAGAGTTTAGCATGCGATTTGAAATCGAGTTGGGCCTAAGACGTATGGTTATTTTTTAAATATCATACCGGAAAGCACACTTTAACGGGGGTTGATGGTCTCCCTATCGCGGATATCGACGAGTACTTGTACTTTTACCAACCCTTCCAATGGTTATCGCCAGTCCAGTTGGTTCTTACGCCATAGCTGGGGTTGTATGGGATGTATGAGCCCCGGTCTTGCATCCTACCCAAACCAATCCGAGGATTTAACAAAAAAGATAAAACTTTACCGCTGGTCGAGAAATCTCATTCTCATCATCGGTGCAGTAGGTTTTGGCTCTTTTGGCATCTCGGGGGGGGGGTAACTAGGGGAACGCACACTCATACGGCCGCGTTCGAAAAGTTCTCTCGCCCTTCCCTGTACGTTGGGAACGGTTCCTACTAACCATGAGAAGGATCTCTTGGATGGCGGTTTTCGGATGCGCTTCTGGGGATATTGTAAAAATTTATCACCATTGGTTTTTACCGAAGAATGAGCGAGCGAGGGTTATCAAAGAGCTAACAATGGTCGGGGGTACATGGAAGGGTACGAAACCTTTATGAATTATCAGCCGTCTGTGATCATGTCACATGAAGACAACGACTCTTACAAATGATTAGGTAATTTCTTTTCTGTTGCCTAATCCGTCTGATAGATGGGAAATCGAACGCTGTTGGAACTAGATGAGGGACCTTATGGAACAATAAAGCTTTATTGCTAGTGAGAAAGCCAGGCCGCACGCAACGTTTGACAGAGTCATTTAGATTTCCAGGTCGGAAAATGATGCTATCAGCGAGTGTGCTGCTTATTGCTCAATATATGGCACTGGTATATGTACCACTCTAGATAGCAGTTGTAACATAAAATTTCCATGGGTCTATTGGGGCTACTCCAAAAGAGATGCTAATTGTTGGCTTCACTCATACCCTTACCGCGACGGGACCGAGCTGTTCGAAGGCAGCTCAATCCGAGGCCAGCTTTCGTGAATCCCCGAACCGCCCAAGGTGTTTATGCCATATAAAATAATAATCAGGGCGCTGCCCAAGACTCTTGGTTATATAACTTCGGCGATTAAGGGATTGCTGAACTGATAGGTTGCCGGCCATCTATAAATAGTGAGACAGAATTCCCGAGCTGATAGAATGCTTGTCGTCGGGGGAGACAAAGGTTCTAACTGATATCGAGCAATTTCTCTTGCCTACCAATAACGTTCCAGGCAAAAGACTAAGGCCTCTCTATCACCTTGATGGTTATATAAAGACAGTGCGTCTTTGAAGCTGCTTGCGAAGCACACTCTCTGGCTTCCAGCTCCACCAGGATATCCTCACCCTATTGTGGAGCATTTGCAATAGACCCCTTGGTAGCTGTACATATATCGGGTGGTTCTAGGTTGGATGGTTTGGGATTAGTATGATCAAATCCTATCTAATTCGTTTCGTGAGTTTTATCAAGTCGATTGACCATGTGGGCAAGACTGTGGCGAGTCCCGAAAATATGACGGTTTTAAAAAAAGATATCAGGTATCTTAATTATATAAAAGACCATGATAATATTGAGAGGCAAGGTCATGCGGCTAGAGCTAGCGTGGGCGAGGCACTAATCGTATAATGTTGCAGGCCAAATTAGGCGTTTTGACAACCCATCTAATATACGAACAAAAAAAAACATCAACTTTAGACACAACTGTACAAGCTGATTTTGAAACACAGTATTCTAAAATCCACGGTTCGTACTGCCTGCTTATTGCAAAAAAGTCTAAAAACTAAAATGCGATCGATCTAGCCCACCATGTGTCATTGAATTAGTGGTCCGCCGTTTCAAATCAATAAATTTTGACATGTGACCTAGACCAGGTCAAACCCATAGGTTTCGATAGCTGCCTACGGGAATTGCATTTCCTCCTTCATGTATCGAATGCGGGTATCATGATAAAAATAGTCACTCAACAGAACAGCGATCAGAAAAACGCCCATCAAGCCGCCAACCTTCTGAACGGGGTCCCCACCGTATTCTTTGTTTTCGAATGTGGATCGTCATTCACATGGTAGACAAGACTTTAAGCCTTCATATAGCAAGCCTGAGCCTTGGTATAAAGCGCCTGATCCTTGATATAGAAAGTTTGATCCTTGGCATACTAGCCTTCGTATCCTCGTCTCTCTTGTTCGGGAGATCTTTCAAAATCTGTATCCAACTGCTTTCCAAGCTCCTTGGGCTCGGAGCTCGTCCTTTTTTGAACTGCCTCGAAGTGCTCAATTTTTACTTTGGCAATAGAGACGTCGCAAGCACATGCTAGCATGATTTATACCTCACGCCATAGCTTGCAAACCCACCCCAACCAGGCTGCCAAAATGCTCCGAGGCGACATGTGGAACACGGCCAATGGAAATTTTGGGGCTTCCTGCAGAGTCTGCTGGACGAAATGCGAGATTTATATCCTTGTTGCTATCGTTGTTGTTGTACATCTGAGCCACGAGGTTAATGTAGTTTTAGGTAATTGGGTCTTTCAGTTGACTTGTGCAGTGAGGATACCCCTAAGTAGTGGGTGTACTTGGAGTGTGTGGTGATGGTGGTGGGTTTCCTTAGGCTTGAACAATTGCTGGCTGGCGAAAAGAAACATATGGAATAGTG